CCCTAGGTGCGCTCTTCACCAGCTCTATTCTCACATCACCCTTGTTTACGGGACAAGTGGTGCGAGATGTCAGTTTTTTGCCATCCACGTCTGGTCATTTCATTCAGATGTGGACTTTGAACAGCGATCCACGCTTTTGTCACCTCAGGATTAGATGACTGCAACATGCCCCCTATGTGAGCTACACATTAACCAGTGCTTTGGGATCTAAACTGGCTGCCCATTGGTCTTCAGATGGAGTGTTGGTTAATGACCTATAAAGCGCTAAATGCTTGGGACTGGCCTACCTGAGGGACCACCTCTCTCCCTGTGCCATACTGTCACAGCTGCTGGCAGTAGGAGTGCTAGAGCTGGATCCCCCTTGTTAGAAAAGAGAAGGGACAGCTGGCAGGGTGTTCTCTCCGAAGGCTGTGCGTCTGTGGAATGCCCCATACACACACTTTTGGTCCAGAATAGCCTGAATTTGGTATCCTTCAAGGTAGGCTGCAAAAACCATCTGTTTGAGAGGGTTTGCAGAGAGGGCTGAGGGTATGCTCACACAATGACAAAAGGAGAGAAAGGAGTTTTTGTAGGTGGCTGGCTGAATTCCTGTTGAAATTATTACTTTAATGCTCCTGGGATTTCAATGTATTATGAATGAGGTGTCAAAGTGCCTAAAGTCTTGGATAGGCATCTTTTCAAATAATTTAATCTAAATTAAATAAACAAACTCTAGCTAACCGCAGAGCAGCAGGAGGAATTAAGCTCAGTACAGAACATCAGTGGATTGGGAGTTAAAGGAGTGTAATTTTTTGGTACACCCCATCTCCCGTTCAGGCATTGTAGGATCAAATTATTATAGATTTGATGGCTCCAGAGCTCCCACAACAACAGCTGTGAGGCAAGCTTGGTCAAACTTGGCTAGGAGGTTCTGCTTCCATCCATTTTTCCATGTAGAGGCAGTCCAATGGAGCAATCCTTAGCCTGAAAATCGTTGGCAAAACTTTCATGTGGAGGGATTGGATGGGCAGAGGAATGATGACTATGTCGCAGCTAATTGCCAATGATAACTTTAAACCATTTGTAGATCTTTGGCAACAATTTGGCTTGCCCTGCTCCAGAGCATGGACATATCTCCAGCTAAAGCATTTACTTATGAATGTATTTGGACCAGATGCATTGGGATCTCCAGAACCTCCATGGTTTTGGAGGAAACTTCCCGGATTTACTCTGCCAACAGTATCCTTTTATGATTTTCTGGTCCAAAAAATTCTGCCAAAGATTGTATGCCAAGCTTGTCTCTCTCACCAACAGAATTTGGGCCAATAAAAAAAAATATTACCTCACCCATCTTGTCTCTGCTAAAAACTGATAGTTTCAGAGATGCTTGGAATAGAGATTTGGATACACAACTATCTCTGACCCAATGGAATACAAAATTGTATCTAATGTTAAAAAAACAACTACAGACTCCAAGACTACATCTTATTCACCAAAAGACACTTTTTCGAATATACTATCCCCAATACAGGCTATTGGTAATAGGCCTCATTAATTTTGACCACTGCTGGATATGTAACTCCGTTGGCATTACACTAACTCATATGTTTTGGGAGAGCCCCTGTATCAATAATTTCTGGTGAGCAATTTCCCACATTCCCAACCATAGATGAATGGGATTGACCACATACTTTTCAAACATCTCATTTCAAGGGACGGCACTCATTTTAGTCTTAAAGTTCCCTCTATTCCATGCCCTCTCACATTATTAATGAAAATTTAGACCAGAACTATCCAGAAACAAAGTACTGACAATGTAGATGACCTCTCAAGGTCCCTCCCAGTCTTACGTTTCCATGAGTCTGTGAATTCTGGCAACATTATCTTGAGTCTCACAATTTTTGGTGTGTGTAAATCTGTAGTTCCTGGAGGTGTATCACTAGGGGAGAATCCCAGCTTTTATTTTTATTTTTAAAAAGGCAGTTTCTAGCCCTGATGTTTGCAGAGCAAAGCTTGAAAATGTGCACCCAAAAAGCATCAAAAACCAGGAGGCAAAGAAAAAGAACCCAACACTTTAAAAAAAAAAAATCCCATTATTTTTACGCCAATCTCATGAATTGTTTAGATGCAACTCATGATTTTTAAATGCTTGGAGTCTGCAACACTGGAATCATTAAACTAAGGTTAGAGAGAAGGTTATTTATATGAAAGAAATGAAACCCAACATTTGCTTTCAAGTTTCCTGTATGTGCATTTTTGGGGTCTTTCATTTTGGATCTTTGTCACATACTGCATTTGTGCCTTGGCGGGTTGAAAGAAATAGCTGGCTGGTGTAGGGAAGAAGGCAGAAGAAGGTAAAGGAATGCAAGCCACTTCCCTTTACAGTGAATAACCTCCATGCACTCAAAGTCATAATGCTGGCCCCGCCAGAACGTAAACATGAAATAAACAAATTGTTGGTAACTACACAGGTCTGTGGAAATTTTTTTTTCTTCATTTCCATTCATCCCATTTAAAGGAAAGAGTCACAAATTTAGATTTCCTTCCCATCAAGAAAAGCAATACAACTCAAGCAGTTTCCATCTGATACAAAAGACAATAATTAAAATAAGAATTCTATAGCCAGCGGGAGCTGTGGCCACTACAAGAGTTGGCAAAATAATGGGCAAGCTCAGCAAAACATGCATTTGGCCTCATCTAAAAGTGACTGCAGCAGCAGATGTCCTGAAAAATACAATCTTACAATGTGGAAATTGTTTGTTTAAAAGTGATGCTGGCAACCTATTTAGGCTCAAAGAGTCACCTTCAAAAACCAAAAACTTAGTTGTATATTTTGAAATTGACTTATATCAGGGGACGTTGTGTCTATATTTCTTCAGTACCTCAGAAATGGAACAGTGGGACAAAGTCTGAGAAACTCTGGATTAAAAAAGTATACTAATCAAAGGAAATGGCTTTTCTTCTCCCGGGTTGTGGTTTGGTATGGCCTAGCAACATCTCCTTTGATCCAAGTTTGGATGCCAAACATTTATATTTTAAAAAAAAATGTACAGTTAATTGCTGTTCATAGAATAATTAAGTGTAATTAAAACATACACAATTTCAATAGGTTTCAGAGTAGCAGCTGTGTTAGTCTGTATTCGCAAAAAGAAAAGGAGTACTTGTGGCACCTCAGAGACTAACAAATTTATTTGAGCATAAGCTTTCGTGAGTCACAGCTCACTTCATCGGATGCATCCTTTTCTTTGTACAATTTCAATAGTTAAGTGAAAGGAGTTTCAAATTAAGTGATTTATCCCCTTCCCCCTCACCTCCAATCTTAATCTAGACCAGAGCCAAGAATGTCTCTGATTAGTAAAAACGTAAAAATTAGATTCAAACGTAAGGAAATGACACTCGGATTTCCTGCTACCAGATATCAGTTGTTTGAGAGTAAGGATGATGATGCTGAGGGATACCTCCTATATAGGACTAGACATGCATTCAGAGTCAAAGAATCAAAGGGCAAGAAAGTGAGTTATCCTTAAAAGGGATGTTGTCAATTAGTTTAGGGGAAAATTTAAGTTTAGTTTATAAAGAATTAAAACTAGTTCTACAAAATCTAATTACAGTATCTTCTTGTTTACATAAAAGTTGCATCATTTTAACTATTCTGATACAATTAAAGCAGTATCACCGCCATGAGGGTTTGTCCATAGTTAAAATGGACACTACCTATGCTGATGGGAGGGGTTCTCCTGTTAGCGTAGGTAACTCACCTCCCCAAGAGGCAGCTAGATCAAGGAAAGAATTCTTCTGTCAACCTAGCACTGTCTACAAGGAGACTTAAAATGACCTAGCTATATTGTTCAGAGGTGTGGATTTTTCACACCTTTCACTGATGTAGTTAAGCCAATTTCATTTTCTAGCTTAGACCAGGCCTTAGTGTGGATGCAATTTATATGAACAAAACTGTGCGTTAGCTGGCATAGCCTATTCCAGGTCCCCCTCACTCCAAGAGAAATAAACTATACTAGTAAAAGTAGTGACCAATATAGCAATGCCAGCAAAACTTTATAGTGCAGACCTGGCCCTTATACCAGCACAACTGTGTCCACACTAGGGCTAGGTTTACACTTAAATCACACCTGCAGCACAGCTGCGCCATGGTAGCACGGCACTGCAAACACTCACTGCAGCGAGGAAAGGGATCCCGTCTCACCCCTAGCCAAAACAGGTAGGCCTGTAGCAAAACAGCATGTAGACCAGCCCTGGAAAACAGCTGGCTGGATTTACAGGGTCTCTTGCACAACCCCAACACCACAGCATTGTGCTGGAGCAGTGGCTCTCAGCCTTTTCCCAACGATGAGCTCATTTTCCAACAGAAAAAAAGTGTCGGGCTTATCACTCCTCACTGAGAGCCCACGCGCAAGAGCATGGGAGCTGGGAAGCAAAACTAGACAGAAAAAGAAGTGGAAGCGGCTCGTCCTGCCTAAGTGAACGAGGAGCAAATAAAGGAAGAGCTCGTAGTAAGCAGTGAAGGGAGGGTTTCCAATATTCGGCAAGCTAGAGCCTCAGCGCTTTATGCGAGATCCGGGGCACGACCCTGCAGCCTTTGACGTTAGCACTGGCTACGCAAGGGCCGGTCTGTACTGAGCGGCGCCCCCGCAACCAAGCTGAGCTGCGGCCGCTCCCCCACACCGCTCCGTGCTGCCCCCGACTGCGAGCGCCCCCCAGCCCCGCCGCGCGACCAGGCTGCCTCTGCCGAGCGCGCTCTCCGCAGCCCGCCCCTGCGGGCCAGGCCCTGGCACGCACCGCCCCAGCAGGGCGCCAGACCTGCCTGCGGGCTCTCGGCCCCCCTCCTCTGCCCTCAAGCCCATGGAAATAACAAAGGGGGGGGGGGGGGTTGTTCCCAATGCGTCCCTGCCCCCGTTTCCCTGGCCAGCTGGGGGGGGGGGGGGGAGCCCGCAGCAGCTGCTGCGAGTCACGTTGCTCTGATTCACTTTGTCCCCGTCCCCCCCCCCGCCTCCCGGCAGACTCACCCTCCTTCGCTTTCTTCTTCCTCGCCAGGGTCCCGCCGAGCTTGCCCAGGAAAGACTCGTCCTTCTTCATCCTGTGGGGCCGCAGGGTGGGCGAGCGGAGGGGCGCCGAGGACATTTGGCTTGTCCCGGGGCAGGCGGCGGCAGCGGGCTGGGGAAGCGTGTCCCTGTCTGGCCGGGCTGGGCGAGCGGCGGGGGAGGGCCGGGCGGCGTGTGTGTGTGTCTGTGTGTGTGAGCCCCACACGCGCACCGGGAAAGGGGCGGGCTGGGAGCTGCAGGGACCGGCCGCTTTGCAGCCTGCCACAGCGCCCTGCCCTGGCGTGGAAGTCCAGGGGAGCCCCCTCGCTCAGGCAGGCAGAGGGCTCCCTACCCGGCTGGAGAGCAGCCCCGCTGCTTGCGGGGAGCGAGCAATGAAATCCTGGCGGGCTGAAACGCACACGAGGGTGGTTAAACCGCGCCTGTGTCAGCTGGACTGTAGGCTTGGGGTTGTGGTATGGGGCTGACACACACAAAAATCCCACACGTGCGCTGAACCCCCCCCCCCCCAAAAAAAAATCCTGTCAAGGAAGATCCATAATCCAGGTGTCCCTCCACTGCTTGGTCTGCCTGGGTTTCCTTAGCACGCTTTATTGGCCAGATGAGGAGATGGGGCTGGCACATATTGCAAACGTGTAGATGTTATTGTGTGTGGAAGAAAGACATGAGCTCTTAGAGGACCCCTCTGAGATGTAGGCACCACACACACACTGAGGAGCCAGCCCCCCTGCCCTGAAGAGCTGACAATGGAAACAGGCAGGACAAAGGGAGGGGTTCAGGCACAGAGGTGTGAAGTCATTTGCCCAAAATCGGTGGCAGAACTGGGAATACAGCCTAGGGGCAGCACCTCAGCTGGTGGCAATTATCACAGCTCTATTACAATCAAAGGAGTTATGACAGCTTCCACAAGCTGAGGATCTGCCCCCAAATCTCCTATTCCCCAGTCCAGTGCCCCATTCATTAGACCACCCTGCCTTGCAAACAGTATATGTGTTTCAGAGTGGCAGGCGTGTTAGTCTGTATTCGCAAAAAGAAAAGGAGTTCTGGTGGCACCTTAGAGACTAGCCAATTTATTTGAGCATGAGCTTTTGTGAGCTACAGCTCACTTCATCAGATGCATGCTGTGGACATTTAGTGGAGATGTTCAGTCCACTGAATGCATCCGATGAAGTGAGCTGTAGCTCACGAAAGCTTATGCTCAAATAAATTGGTTAGTCTCTAAGGTGCCACAAGTCCTCCTTTTCTTTTTGAGTCTATATGTTACTGTCTCCTCTCCCACCCTGCCTGTGTCTCCTGTCACTTTAGGCAGCAATCCTCCAATGAGCTCCATGAGGGCAGATGCTTGTGCCTGCTGGGACCCCATTGATTTCAGAGAGACTCCCCATGGACACAGATGTGCAGATTTTATTATAGGGCGGAGGTCATGGACTCTGGAACAGGAACCATGCCTTGTGTATTAGTGCAGCACCTACCACAAGGGATGCAGAGCCCGGCTGCAGGTCTCTGCCCACTACTTCTATATAAATATTCGATTCTAATAAAGAAAGGCTACAAGGCAAAGTAACTCATGATCCTGCTGAAAGACATACTTATTACTTACCAGTTTATAGCCCCCATGAGTGTGAATAGGTGCTTCACAGAACACACACAAATACAGATCCCACAGAGGTTACAAATCTTAGGCTCTAATCCTGCCAAGTTTTATGTACATGTTTAATTTAAAAATTCCATTGAGTTCAATGGAACTGCTCAGGTGCTTAGCATTTAGCACATGCATTAGGCTCCAATCCTGCACTCTGTTCCAAGTGAGCATGTGACAGTCTATATCAGGGGTGGGCAAACTACAGCCCGTGGGCTGGATCCGGCCCTCTAGCCATTTTAACCCGGCCTGCGAGCCCCTGCTGGGGAGTGCGCTCCGGTGCTCCAGCCGGGATGCAGGGTTGGGGGTCGCACCATGTGGCTCCTGGAAGCCGCAGCATGGCCCCATTCTAGCTCCTACATGCTCCAATGGCCCCCTCCGGTGCTCCAATGGGAGCTGCAGGGACGGTGCCTGCGGACGGAGCAGCTCGCAGAGCCACCTGGCCACACATCCAGGTAGGAGCCAAAGAAGGGACGTGCCGCTGCTTCTGGGAACCTCTTGAAGTAAGCGCCGCTAGGAGCCTGCACTCCCCAGCCAGAGCCCTCACACCACCACCCCCCGGACCTCACTCCCCCACCCCAGCCCGGAGCCTCCTCCCACACCGTGAACTCCTCATTTCTGGCCCCACCCCGGAGCCTGCACCCCCAGCAGAGCCCTCACCCCCACTCACACCTCAACCCCAATTTTGTGAGCATTCATGGCCCGCCAAACATTTCTATTCCCAGATGTGGCCCTCGGGACAAAAAGTTTGCCCACCCCTGCTCTATACTATTATACTTTTACAAGACTATGATGAATTTTGTACAAAGTATGCTTTGTGAGGGATCATTTGAAAAGTCATAATCTTCAGAATATTACCTTGTTATATGTGTAGCCACACTCTATGAGAAGTTATAAGATTCTACTGTATGACTATTAGTGAAATATGTTGTCATTTTGGTAGCACCCATAAACCAGTTTTTCAGAGACAAAGACATACTAGCACCCCAGATAGGTGTTAAAGGGCCATCACCTACTTAAGCGGCCATCCTCCAGCAGGGGACAAGGTGTGAACAAGAAATTTACATTTAATCACAAGGAGACTCAAACCTTATGTCCAGATGCTCAGCAAGGATGATTCTAGCATAAGAAATTGAATTATAAAGAGGGAGGAAAACAGTTGACTTCACCTCTCTTCCTCCCATCTCTCTGCTCATGACATCAATGACTCTCAAAGAACTGAACTAAGAGGGGAAGTGGTCCAAGACTGAAAGGAAATGCAGCCTGTGAAATTTACTACAGCATATGGTGAGGAAGGCTTCTGTTTTTAAGTTCAGTTACCTTGTGTATTACTTTTATTTTCTTTTGTAACCAATCCTGATGTTTATGCATCATCACTTGCAATCACTTAAAATCTATCTTTCCTATAGTTAATAAACTTATCTTATTCTTTTGTCTTCACAAGTGTGTTTGGATTAAAATGTGTGGGAAACTCCATTTGGGAAAATAAAGCTGGTGCATATATCATTTTCCTTTGATGAAATGATAGACTTTCTATGAACTTGCGTGGTTCAGTAGCATGCTGGACTGTACATTTCTGGAGCAACAAGGTTGGGACTAAGAATTCACAGCTGTTGCCTTGTATGTAATTCACGAGTGATGGGTGGTCAGAGTGCTCATGTATTTGACTGGGAGTGAATTTGCTGAAGTCTGTATGAGCAGGCCAGGTGTGGATGTTCGGACAGTACAGCAATGTAAAAGGCACCCCAGGCTAGAGAATTAAGGGGACACAGCTGTTCAACTGTCCAGATTGTACCCTGGGTAATGTCACAGAGCAGACACTTCACTCCACAGGGAGCCTCACAGAAGTCAATGGGGCTTTGCACAGGGATCCACTCATGCAGAACAATTGCAAGATTGGGACCTTAATGATGAAATATACAGTGAAATGAGAAACTGAGAGGATGGGGAGGGAAGAGGAGGAGACATGTTTCTGAGATATGACTGGGTGGTGACTCATTAGGCAAACATAATGCTTTGTGGTTTACATACAATGTTTTCAAATGGGGACACTTGTATTTCTTTAGGTGATGCAGCAGAGTTTTTGAGGAGCAATCTGAACACTGAGAGGGCGGAGGGGCCTCACCGATTTTGAAAGGGCCTTCCAACAGGACGGGGCAGCATGGCAGAATGCCCTAAGGCATATGTCAGAGCAAGAGACAAAAGGGGTGTCAAGGCTGTCACTGACCAAGTGCAAGTGGAGAGGAAATAGAGATCAGCTCAGATGTATGCAGGGTGTGTGTGAAAGAAAGGACAAGCAGTATGAACTCTTTGCATATGGAGAAATAGAGAACAAGGTGCAGTTTGTTTCTGTTTTAAACTTTATACAAGTAATGGAAGTTATAGGAGGGGATTATGCTAATTGGGGGTAATCTGGCTCAGTAGTTTGTGTTTCTATAGCAACTTTCACTGAAGTAACTCAGAGCAGTTTATAAATATAAAGGGACATTGTTGTTAATTTAACAATCCCACTTCTCTCTGAAAATTAGGGCTTTTTTAACAAGCATCAACAGCATGGAAGCATGTCCTCTGGAATGGTGGCCAAAGCATGAAGGGTCATACGAATGTTTAGTATATCTGGCATGTAAATACTTTGCAATGCCGGCTATAAAAGTGCCATGTGAATGCCTGTTCTCACTTTCAGGTGACATTGTAAATAAGAAACGGGCAGCATTATCTCCCATAAATGTAAACAAACTTGTTCTGTTAGCGTGGCTGAACAAGAAGTAGGACTTAGTGGACTTGTAGGCTCTAAAGTTTTACGTTGTTTTGTTTTTGAGTTCAGTTATGTAACCAAAAAAAAAAATCTACATTTGTAAATTGCACTTTCATGATAAAAAGAACGAGGAATACTTGTGCCACAAGTACTCCTTGTTCTTTTTGCTGATACAGACTAACACGGCTACCACTCTGAAACCTTTCACGATAAAGAGATTGCAGTACAGTACTTGTATGAGGTGAATTGAAAAATACTATTTCTTTTATCATTTTTCAGTACAAATATTTGTAAATAAAAATAATATAAAGTGAGCACTGTACACTTTGTATTTTGTGTTGTAATTGAAATCAATATATTTGCAAATGTAGAAAAACATCCATAAATATTTATTAAATTTCAATTGGTATTCTACTGTTTAACAGTGCAATTAAAACTGGGATTAATTGCGATTGTTTTAATCATGATTAATTTTTTTTAGTTAATCGCGTGAGTTAACTGCGATTAATCGACAGCCCTACTGAAAATCTTTCCCCTGCTATTGTTACAAGTAACATCTAATGTGGCTGTAACTGAAAGATGAGGAATTTAAAAAAATCTCTCTATTGCTTTGGTTTGTTTCCTTTGTGTATTTGACTGGACTTTCTGTATAGTCAATTTCATGGTGTTCCTTGCATAAGTTTAGTCACCTGCTCCTGTTTGTGTGAATTTTTCACAAATCAACAGAGCAGAGAAACATTTTAAATGAAAATAGGGTCTTTAAAAAGCACTAAAACTGACAGCAGATCTCAATTACAAGTGGAGACCCATGAGCTACTTTTAACTT